TCCCTACATGGAAGGCAGGAGACATTTGTTTTAAAAGGAAGTATCCACATGGCACCATGTTCAATTCAAGCACAATGTGTGGAATTCCTGAGGCTTTCCCATTTAAACTGGAGGGGAAAAAATAAATGGGAATCTAGAGTGGCTGCAGGAAAGTTTGGCTATAGGTATAAAGCTATCTTTTAAAAATGGCATGGGACACCTTGCTGCCCCTTGACCTTCTATCCCATGCTTATAGCCCAGTAGAGGACATTTTCCCTTCCCCACACTGTAGCATTACATAGGGTTGCCATATACTCTCTGAAGGATCTCCCACACCCAGCAGCCATTGCCCAGCAGCACTCCAGTGGCCAGTGAGAGTTGCCTGACAGTATGACATCACGTCTTGAGAAAGCCCTGAAGTGAGTTTCTGGCAATTCTTAAGAGAGGTGTGATATCACTTCCAGGAAGAACTGGAAGTCATGTCAGTCCTCGCTGGGAAATGCTGGAAACTATGGTTTTACCATAGATTTCCCATCAATTCCTAGAAAGGACTGATGTTACACTGTCACTGATGGTACCCCCCACTTCCCTGTACCCCAGAGACTCCTGCTGGTTCCCAGTCAAAGCCTGGCTGTCCTAATACTACAGGATGGCTTTGTAGGAAAAGGGGGTTTCAGGGCAACAAGGTGGCTGAGTACCATTGCCATTTGACCTGTGTTTTTGCATAGGTGTGGCAGAGGAAGAAGTGGGGGAGCAGAGGTAGGGGCAATGGCAGCAGCAAGTGGCATGGGAATGGAGGGTGTGGCTAGCACTCCTACCCCACTTGCATCTACTGCCATGCCAAAGGTGTGTTTCTGGCCTCCTGTGCAGCCATTTGGTTTGATGCAAAAAGGCCTCCTGTAATGCTGTTTTTCTGATTGTTTAATCTGCTTGCCTATTTAGAACCAACAGGACCTGCCATTGCCAGAGGAAAAGAGCAACCCCCATGGCATCGAAAAACTCTGGCACTCCACACTGATAAGGATATACCTGTCCTTAATAGCAAAAAGCACAAGGAACTTTACCTGGGAAGCGTCACTGGGAGCACTCCAGAACCTCACCGCAGGCAACGGACCAGTAAGTAGCATTGTTTCAAGAGCCACACTGAGGGCCTTAAAGTGTTCCTGCGTCATCATTTCTCATTCCAAAGGAATATTGTTCAAACTGTTTAGTGAAAAAGAATCTACAGATTCAGTTTTATTCAGTGTTGATTCAAGAAGCTTGCAATCTTGGGATGCAGACTTGAGTTTAAATATTTATCTTTTTTGTTTGGGGGGGGACAATATTGCAGACTGCTTTCAGCCCACAATTTAGCGGAGAAAAGTGGATTAAAAGTAGCCCAAGTAAATGAATGAATAGTATATAAGGTATGCTACTGGGGAGAGAAAAGATTGGGGAGCAGGGAGTCATGGGCTCTTCTGTTATAACTCTGGTACACATAACACTAGCTAAGAGAATGAGCTGCAGCCTGGGAGACCCACAGTTCAAATCTTTTTTCGGCCGCAAAAATGCTAGGTAGACTTGAGCAATTTGCTTTCTTGTTGTCATAGCCCTTCGTCCTCAATACGGGGATAGTAATACCACCCTAACTAAAAAAGATATTGAGAGAAATACTAAATGTATGTGAAATGCTTTGAAAAATACCATATAAATACCAGGTATTATTAGGGTTTTTTTTACAGTTTGCGTAGGATCACTTCTTCAGCTATGCTTTGGGTAGGGTTGCCAACCTCCAGGTGGTGGCTGGAGATATAAGTGCATAAGAAGAGCCCTGCTGGATCAGACCAGTGGTCCATCTAGTCCAGCATCCTGTCTCACACAGTGGCCAACCAATTCCTCTGGAAGGCCAACAACAGGGCAGAGAGGCTGAGGCCTTCCCCTGATGTTGTCTCCTCGCCAGGGGTCATTTCGTAGAAAAAGAGCTAGGGGAACTCATTAGCATAACTCATTAGCATATGCCACACCCCCTGACATCAGGGGCCCGGCGGTGGACCTGCAAGGCCAGCGGGCCAACTTACCCTCCTGCTTCTTCCTCCTTCTGCAACAGAATGAGGCTGGAAGCAGGGGGCTGCCGGAAGAAGGGGGTGGGGCTTCGTTGTGTGCCCCACCCCCCTGCACCTCACCCGGGGAAACTGCGTTCCCCCGCGTCCCCCCCCCCGAAATGACCTCTGCTCCTCGCTCTGGGATACAGAGGATTAGTGCCTCTGAATAGAGAGGTAGTAGCCATTGATAAATTTATCCTTCGTGAATCTATCTAATCCCCTTTTAAAGCTGTTTATTCCTGTGGCCATCACTACATCCTCTGGCAGCAAATTCCACGTTTTAATCACTCTGTGTGTAAACTAGTATTTCCTTTTGTCCATCCTGAACCTACTGCCCATCAGTTTCATTGGATGCCATCAAGTTCTAGAGAGAGGGAGAGGAAGAAAAATCTCTTCCAGTTTTCAACTGGGTCAAATCATAGCAAGGACATTTGATGGTTGGAATATATGGAGTTCACCTGTTGAATGAATGAGTGTGACTGCATCAGCAGTTTACAAGGGGCACTAAAAGACTGTTGAATTGTTGGTACATAGAAATTGAGATATTAATTGCATTACATAAATTCAATTGTTTATATAATTTGTAATTTTGATCACTTTTCATGGTGTGTATGTTTTGTTTTGACAACCTGATCTCTACTTTTGTAACCCCCTGGAGGTTGGCAACCATACTCGACAGTCTTTAAAATGATCATTGAAGGGCAGCATTATTGATAATGTATCTGAGAGGAAAGGATGGATTACTGTGATGGTTCATGAAGCCTGACAATTATATGTGTTCTCTGACAGATGCCTTTTGGGGTAGCCCAAACCATTGTCCGGAAGGCAAATGGCCTCCCAAGTATTCGAAACATGCTTCACTCAAGCAATCCAAGTGTCAGGAAAACGGCAGTCTCCCTGGTCAGGAATTTGTCTCGTAACGCCTCATTACGGAACGAGATAGGTAAATACACAACAGCTGGCTAAAAGTTAAGAGCGTGCTAATATGTTAAGTGCCAAATGGAAGAATTTCTAGCTGGAATACATGCCCTTGAGCTTCTAATAATAAAAAGCTTTACCTCAGTAAACAGCCTTCCCCTGTTGATTCCATCTATTTAAATGTTTCGCATTTGAGGTGGCATGAAGTGATATGAAAGTTCTTTGAGTGATGTTTGATCTGTGATGGTCGTTTTCGCTCATTCTGTGTTGATGTTCTAATCCTTCATGTGGAGAGCATCAGGAATGCACTGACACAACACACTCTTTTGTCCCCCAACCCCAGTAGCACCATTTTGGGGATCATTTCAGACTGCAGCAAGGGTGGGAAGGCAAAGAGACCCCTTTCCACTGATGGAAAGGCCTTCTGTTAGTG